CTGGTAGTAGAATTTTGGGAAAGCAAGGCTATGTGAAATTCACTGGAAACGTCACCTCAACTCATATCATTGTGGGAAAATTCTTCTTCTACCAGTCCTTCATCACCTTGCATGAAATTGGGTGAATACATCTCATATTACTTTTATACAGCCTAATCTTGTGTGTTTTTGCAAAATAAAGAGCATATTTTAGAATAATGTGGCATAGACGTAAACATTTGGAGCATTTGTGTGAATAGTCGGTTTCCTTGGTCACTAATTACAAGCAGAAATGATTAGACCCTGCTTATGCAGCGGCCTACAAGGCGGTTGTACGCTGAATTCGAGTCTTCCATTGCTTCTTTCCCTCTTCACTCTTACAAATATCCCATATCAGTCGGATGACGGAAGCCACAACGGAGACTATGATACCTCCTCAATTCGCAAATGTTCCACAACATCCAGTCGCAGTCACAGGCCATGGCGGTACAGAGATTCTACATCGAATCCCCTCAGACTTCGCACCGCCCAATCCCACGTCCACAGAACCGTTTTTGCCTCCGCCGCTTCAGTTGCCCCCCTCTCCGCCGGAAACCCCACCACCAGCACCGTTGCCGTTGATCATGCCGCCTAATCCGTACAGTGTGATAACGTCGCCACGATGTCCAGTGCAGGGCTCGAAGAAATATAGAGCTTTTAGCATGACCGATTATAGCTCTGAATACCCTTGGTACGCTGGAGACTGTCGATTTTACGCCAATTAACTTTTCTATCATAAGCACAAAATGATGTATCTGAAGACAAAGATGTTGTGGCCTCTGGTATGGTCGCAGTCTTTTCACGATTTATAGAAATGGATTGACCTCGTTGTCGTAACTTGGTCTTGTGGTCAGGGCGACTTAGTAGAACGCAACTAGTCCGAAGTCGTCTGCCATAGTAGTTGTCATGATTGCCATCATCTGACAGTCGACTTGATACATTCTCAAACGTTTCGCCGGCATCGTAGTCGGCATCATCAGTGAGCGCTGCCATTCTCCGCACCAAGTGACGAACTCGTGAAAGAGACAAGTCTTTAACGAGTTCGTTCCCGATGATGATGGGAACCATGACAACTACTATGGCAGACGACTTCGGACTAGTTGCGTTCTACTAAGTCGTTCTGACAACAAGGTCAACTCACTTCTATAAAATGATACAATCTGTACATCTGAGGAGCGCTTCACTATTCAAGTATTGTATTTACTAAAAATCCCTTTGACAGCCCATTCAACTTGGACCAGCTTAATTCTCCATTTTATATATTTGGCTTGCCATATCCATCTCATAGTGAGTGTGACTTTACTGTGCAGGAACATTCGCTTGATCAACCCTCATTCGGCCTTCAACCAGATGCGATTGCATGTATTCCTTTTTATTGGTGGTTAGCTGAACTATGGCCACGACTTGTAATGTTTTATGTATTCCTTAAATGCATCTAAACGGAGAACGCGTATCCCAAATGTGTGGATTAAAGCCATATTTCCCTCCTGAAGAGTGATTTGCTCTTTTTCTTTCG